GTCTAGGGTGTGGTTACAGGCATGAGTTGGCCCAGTTACATTCTGATGTACACCGACAGAGTCAAGAATGGCAGTAAATGCTTTTGTTACTGGATCACTTTCATTTTCCATATGAATATTAAAATCACCTACAATCAAGGCCTTGTTGGTCGTAACCACCAAGCTTGTTAAGAATTCTGCAAATTCCTTAAGGAAATTGCTATAGGGGCCTGGCGGTCTATACACAATGGCAATGGTGATTGGAGGTGTAGAACTACACTTAGATGTGCTTGCAAGATTTAGAATAATAAATTCAAACGTACTAAAGCTATAACCAGTATTTTCACGTACTCCTAGGTCAGTCTTAAATATTGCAGCAACTCCGCCACCTTTGCGATCGGGTCGAGGAGTATGCTTATAGCTACAGTATACTCAGCTGGAGTGGATTCATTTAGTGCCAAGAACTCATTCGGTTTTAGCCAAGTCTCAGTAAGACATAGGGCACTAAGATTAGAATCAGTAATGATTTCATTTACGAGCAATGTCTTAGGAGCCAGCGATCTAATGTTCAGGAGTCCAAGTTTTAGGTTTGCATTACACCTACTATCCAGAGTTGAAATAGGTCTAATTTCTCTAAGGTTTGCAAGACATGAACTACGATGGAATGACCCCCCACGATTAAAACCGCGGGGAACAGACACAGTCTCAATAATATGAAGCCTGGGTGACGACTCACCCCTCCTTGTAAAGTATCCAGGCTGCTATTCTAACTCAATCAGCATGGCAGAGTGATCTCCAGCCCTGTCCTTGTCAACAGTGTCATCTGAGTTATGAGAGAATCACTGAAATGATGTCAGCAGGTCCTTTTGTGGCAGGACTGAAATGCTGTGGAAATGGGTTTTTTGGGATTAAGTTCATTTTCATGGCAAAGAGAGATTTTGCATTTAATTGCAATTCATCTGATCACTCTTCATAACATTCTGGAGTACAGTATATGCAAATTGCCATCATAAAAACTGAGGCAGCAGACTTTGTGAAAACCAATAGTTGTGTCATTCTCAAAACCTTTGGCAATGACTGTACACAAACACATGATAAACCAGGGTTTCTCAACCCGGTCCTCGGGGACCACCAGACGGTCCATGTTTTTGCTCTCTCCCAATTCCCTGCCAATTGGGAGAGAGCAAAAACGTGGACCGTCTGGTGGTCCCCGAGGACTGGGTTGAGAAACCTTGGATAAACCACACAGTGGCCCAGGGAGCAAGAAAACACGCTGGGGAGACACCAAACGGGATGGGCAGTGAAAACTGCTGGCGAAATGGAGAGAAGACACATGGCACAGGGCCAGATGGGCACCGATCCTTACAGTTAGCATTTTCAGTTTAACCTAAACTGTCATTAAACTGAGAAATGAAACTTGAAGAATGACTACTGATGAAAGCGCTGCGTATTTTAGGACCATCATTATGCTGCTGTGATTACAAGACGCCGTAATACTGTATATCTGCCATTATGGAATCCAAATAAAATGCCATGTAAAGGCAGTTTTCCTTTAACCTTAAAAACTCTCTTCAATCTCTTTACGCTTTAATGGAGGTAAATGTTTAGTATTAAAAACAACAATAAACATGCTTTATTTGTACAAATTCAGCTTCATTGGAATGTTTCTTTTCACCAACCATGTGTTGCTCTCCATAGCTTGGGGCTAAAGGAGCAGGGGCAGCCAATGTGAGTCAGAATCACCAATACGTACAATACAAAACCAGATTTACCATTTAAGTTTTAAGAGACCCCGCTATGAATTGTAAAAAAAAAACATTACTGCGAAAAGTTGGTGATGTTGTAAACACCACCAACCAGCAGGTGGCGCCGGCTACTTCAGTTCAGAGTTGGTGAAGGTTAGCCTCTGTGCTTATACAACTTAAAATTTTCTTTTAAAAATGTATTTATGCCACATTCAGTAAATGTAAAATATTTTACATTTACGCTCATATAACATACATAATGTTTTCTTCCTGATCAGACTGATCTTTTCACTGATTGAATTGTAATTCTGCGTGTGATATGTAGATAGCTGCCGTATGTTAAAGCTTGTTTTTGGTTGACTGAAACCAAACCCATGTAGTGAAGGCCGTTCATCCACCTTTCTGCCACAGCAGATGATGCTCTGCAGCTCTGGTTAAGTTTCTTAGAAAGTTTATGCCATTAGGTCGTTGCAACAATTCAATTAAATTCAACTGTATTGTTATTGTCACGCCCGGCTCGTCCGATCCTCGTGTGTGCCACGCCCCCCTCGTTACCTCGTGTTAATTCCCGATGGTAATTACCTGTTACCTGATATGTTCGCCCGCACGCCGAAGTAGGCGAGACAGCCGTGAATACTGTAACACGGGGTTTATTCAGGGCAGACAGCGACGAACAAAAAAAAAAACATCAATGACGGATCTGGGGGAAACTAACTCAGACGCGGACTAAATACACAGGACAGGCTGAACATAACAGGTAACAGGTGATTACTATCGGGAATTAACACGAGGTAACGAGGGGGGCGTGGCACACACGATGATCGAACGAGCCGGGCGTGACAGTTACGTGTAAAACAAAACATATTAGCCTCCTTGTGTGCGTGAATCGGGAATTTTGCTGCAACCAATTCAACACAGAGAGGGAGGGTCTGCAGCAGATGACCAGCAAAACAATGATCATGTGCCAAATTTAAAATCTGTGGATGATATGAGGTTATAACCACAATCCGATACACTGTGTCCCAGTCTGAAGAGGTAGGAGGAATCTGCTTTCTTAATTGCAAACTCTTGTCAAGAAAATGGGCTCCAGTTTTCTCAGGTTCATCAGTTGCTAGTACAGCGCTACATTTTTCTAGAGGGGGGTCTGCCTTCTGAACTGCTAACAGATCATCTCTATTAACACAAAAACCCAAATCAGGAATACCTGTAGTACCAGAATCAGTTAAAAGTTTGTCCCTCTCATCATGAGCGCAAGGATGTGTAGAATTGGGGGTTTCAAGAAATGTTTTACACAAGGCCAACACATCCCCATATTTACGAGCTTGAGCGTGTGAAATTTCGCATGTAAGAAAAACGGAAGGATACCATTTTTGTAATGTTTCACTGTCCACTGTGTCTTCAACTAGACTTGGTTCCGGGATAACTTACAAAATGGGAAGTACCTTGCCACCCACTAAATCAATTCCTAAAATGAGAGTCACCCCTGTGGTTGGCAAATGAGAAGAAATACCAGCCCATACCTTTCCAGAAACCAAATCAGACAGCAGATAAATGGACCCTTGCATACCGTAACTCAATGCCTTGAAGACCTCAGATTCACAGTTTGTTTAGTTGGACAACTCCAGAAGACCTTCAAGTAAAAAAGACTGAGCTGTTCTAGTATCACTTAAGATGGTAACTGGTTGCCTATTCTACATGCCATCAGAAACCAATGCAAACACTTGTAAAATGAAAGGCTTAAAACCAGCATCACAATTGACGAACACACTGAATTAAACCCAAGATCTGTTTGAGGGAGAAAGTCTTAATGTCTTTTCAAGGCGGGACAGTCTGCAATAAGATGAACAGCTTGGTGGCAATTAAAATATTCATGAATCTCCCAGTCATTGAAATGAGTCATAAATTTTTGAGCACTGACCAACCCAGTTTCAAGACCTTTAAGGTCCTGATTAGCCAAAGGGAGTTGGGTCGTATCACAGATCGTCAGAACAGGTAATACCATCTTATTGTTTAAAACATATGCATCTGCTGTGACTGTGGTATCAGCAAGACAAGCAAATTTGTGGTCATTCAAATATATAAGATGTTTCTCTGGCAAACAGCTTTTAAAATCTTCAAGTAGTATTAATTCTCTAAGTTGTTCAAATTGTACTGTCTTTACACCATTTGTCAAATAAAACACTTTTTTTTCTCAGGCAAATTCGGGTTTGATTGGATGTTTTTGCATGGCCTCCCTGACGGTGAGCTTTGCCTGTTCTCAGCTTGCAGCACTGCCGGTTTGCATTGCAATAACAAAGGCCAAACATTTCTCGGCCAGTGCAAAGATGTTGCAACGCGTTTCAACACTGAAAAACAGGAATCCACTTCAGTTTCTCGAAATTGAGGCACTAGTTTAACTTATCTGCTTATATCAACCCCCGGAGAGGTTCTAGGCACGATGGGCGTGGTGATGCGAGACGTAGGCTCCTGCCGGTCATATCTCACCTCCTTCTGTTGCTACTGCAATTAGACGGCCTTTTCAGCCTCAATTTCAAGAATACAAACCTGCTATTCACTTGAGCTCCAGTTGCAGTTCTTTCAGGCATACTGCCGCTGCCGCATCTTCAAAGGTAAATGGGAGAGACTTATGGGATGTATGCACAGAGATGCTGTCCCAGCCTGGGCCTCCGCCCCATCTTTTGATGCAAAGCAGACTTAATTTCCAATTTCCTGACATGCCGATCAAGTGAGATGCTGAAGAAATCAGCGAGTAGCAACAGATTCACTTTGCAACACTGGTGCAATTGCTCTGAAGTCAGAGCAGTAACAATTTGCTCCAGGCTAAACGTTTTTCCTAGCACACCCAACGCTCCTCTCACACATATGCAACAACAGCCAAGCAAATCAGCGGCAACTCAACGGGGACCAGCCCCCAGCTGCAGTGGTGCGAGCAACTAAAACAAGACAATAATATGGACAAAATGCACCTTTCTTCATTGATGCTCTAAGCAAGTAAGTTGTACTTGCAGACGGCTTTTCAATTATTTCTTGAAATTAAATTCGCAAAACCTTGCAACACTGCTCAATATTCTTGAAACGTAAACAAAGTAGCTTTGCCAGTGTGAACAATTCTTAAATATTTACGGATTGCTAGTTTGTCTCTGTCTTTTGAAAAGATGTAATGTAAAAAAGTATAGAAAGAGAAAATAGAAAAGGCAGGACATTAGTCTTTACTGTGCAGAGACATCTCCATGCTGTATACTGAGAGTGTCCCAGTGTCTGCATACAGTACCATCAGAGAGAAACACAAGGCCTGAGTCAGAGTTTCCAGGTGACTTGTCCCAGGCTTTGCTTGGCTGGTGGCCACAACAGTGCTGCTGCACATGTAACAGCACAACAGTCACCTCCCTCCAACCCCCTTCAAGGTACCAGACAAAATTCTCCCATCCCCCCTTAGACAAACTCCAAGGAGGCCATCACACTAGATAATGTGTGTGAGGGCTTCGGAAACACGATCTTCACTACTATTGTGTAAATTGCACCAGCCAGTTCTTGTGGCTGCATGACTCTTCACCACTGACTGAAGCAGCCGGCTAGAGTCTGTTTAACTTCAGCTGCAATACCGCATTAAACACAAGAACACACACGTTTGCTTGTGTAAACTTTTCCAAATTCCACACAGCTTATGCCAGAATGAACATATTGTAGTATACAAACAGTTTCAGTCAGGAATAATATATTTTGCCCAGCAAATACTTTCTTTTCAAGTGATTTTTTTGCCCAGATGTACAAGTGGATAATTTGCTGTACTGTATATACAGTTGATTCACTTTATTGCTGCATAACGTAGCTGAGCTGTAATAATGACCCAGTCATTGGCTCTTAAGTATTTGCTGATATAAATTCAAATGGCAACTCTTTTTTTGGCCAGGCAGTGTGTGTGTGTGTGTGTTTGTGTGTGTTTTGATTTGTTTTGGCTTTTTGGTAAAAGTTGTAGGGAGTTTTTTTCTGGCAAGTTAAAGTAACAAATAATGTAGGACTGAATTACATTTTTGTTTCTGAAGGTTGTGATATTGAATTAGTGTGAACATCACATGTGATTGTAAAGCGCCTTAAATGTCATGGTCAATTTGTTTTACCTTTTAGCTTTTTTTTTTACTTTTTTGTTCCTTTACATTAGATTTTCTTGAATGCTGAATGCAATGTCTTTTGTTTTGTATTTGTCCTTGGCAGTGTGTGGTAATCATGCGAGAAGTTAGTCGCAGAGTGATGAGAAAAATATAAAGTTGCTCAAGAACCACAAGCATTCAGCCCACAAAAAGCTAATCAGTCATTGCCGTTTACGTCTGTCTGCTGATTAACTCTTCCGCTGTTACTCACTGACAGGGAGTATATTAGTGGGATGTCGGGCTCATCAGATTGCCAGAAGAACAGCGAGCGTCTGCTGAGGCTAAGGTAATGCTTTTAAATTATATGCCAGCCACTGGTTTTGTTACAGGAAGTTGTTCTAAAAATATGACATTTTCCCCCCCTGAGCTAAATATAAATGTATGGGCACATGGTTTTCTATTCAAGCCTATAGTCTAAATTTTAAATGTCTGGGGTTTTTCCACACTACAAATGTCTGTGCATATGCAACACAAGTTGTGGTAATGTTACTGTACATATAGACACAGACATAACTTTCATTGTGTTCAAAGGACTTATATACCCAAAGTAACTGTAAATAACAGTGATTCTCTCTCTCTCTCTCTCTCTCTGTGTGTGTGTGTGTGTGTGTGTGTGTGTGTGTTTTTAAGAACCCAGAATTGTGAAATGAAGATCTGGAAGACTGCACTTTTTGCTGTTATTATTGTGGCAACAGCATCAGCAAAGCCAGTAAGCATTATTTACAATTATGTTTCCTCTTAGATTTTTCATGGCATAAAATATATAATGTAATTATTGTATCTATACATGTATTGCCTTTTTAAATTAAGGCAGAAAATTTCAGCATTTTCAGGTTGCCTGTTGTTCTGGCCAACAGCTATATCAGGCTGGCAAAAGATCCAGATCATCTGAATCATCGGATTCCAGGTATTTGCCAGCATCAACAAAATCATCAGAGCTTTCTCTGTCATCTGATTCGTCGGAGTCCCCGCAATTACTGAAATCATCAGGGTCATCAGAGTGGTCATCAGAGTCGTCATCAGAGTCGTCGTCAGAGTCGTCTGAGTCATCTGAGTCGTCTGAGTCATCCAAGTCATCAGAATCAAATGAGGAAAGCACAATCACATTAATTTCTTCAGGAACAGAGATGACGACTCCAGGGATCATCACAGAGATAACTACTCCAGGGATCATCACAGAGATAACTACTCCGGGGATCAACACTGAGATAACTACTCCGGGGATCAACACTGAGATGACGACTCCGGGGATCAACACTGAGATGACAACTTCAAAGGCCATTGAAGCAACAACAACAAGTCCTGTTTCTAGGTGTATCACAATGGACATAATGACTACAAACCGTAGAGGGGACAACTGAGAATCACTCTGATTATTACGAAACCATTTACAAGCAGCAAATCTTTCCAAAAATAATGTTATTTGCTTCTGATTCTTCTCTTACTTTCCCATTGGTTGTGCGTATTGTTGTCCTTAGATATGTAGGCCTACATAACCTTCCTTCAGTGCCATTTTGAAGTGAGGAAGGGACCACTGTCTTTTTATATACATGTGAATTGACAGTTTTCCAGTGCAGACTATCTCTGTCTATTTTTTTTATCATAATATGGGGTTTACTTGTGACTTAGGAATAAAACTGTTAATGCGGAGAACTCTCTGCTCCTTGGATGAACATAAGGACTGAACAGCATTTTCATTATAAAAAAACAAAAACAAATAAATAATGACAATAATGATAGTATATTTAAATAACAGGTGCTTTGATGTCGTAATATGTTATTATTTCTTTTAATTTTGATACCCCAATGGGAGAATAGTATGAACAAAGATTTTAAATAGAATGGCATCCCTTTAGAATATGGCTTCTTTTTGCGTCTTATATATGGTAGTACCTCGTTAATAATGAAAAACAACTGCTGTAACCTGTTTATAATTGTCTATTAATGATTTTAAAAGTGTTACAACCTAAATAAACAACCTGAATATAAACCATTCATAAACCCTTAATAACCCTTAATTTCTATACTGAATATACAGACTGCAACATACTTGTATATGTGATTAATCACCAAGGTCTGCAGGGTGTTCAGTGCTGGCACCAAAGAGGACACACTGATTCTGACAGCCAGTTTAACTTCGGAAGCCTTATCAAGGGTTACTGAACGGTAGCAACACAATACGTTCAGAGGGGATGTGATTAGCAGCTAACTGCAGTAACTGCAGTGGCTTTAAATCCCTGGTATTTTTCCACTGGGAGTTTTTGTCTGGTTTCGAATCCTGGAAGAACGGACGCATTTTGTAGCCGTCAGTGCAATTCTGCGGCTTTTTCGAAAGAAGAAGATTAACCAGAGGGTCCTTAGAGACGTCTGGATAAACAGAGTCATCCAAATCCCTGAAACCCCAGCATAAGAAGAAATGTGGTGCCTATGCATGCTTTTTTTTGCATATGGTACATTTAATATACTTTACTTTTAAATTTGTTTTCTGTGTAAAAACAACCAACAAGCTGTTTAGGAAATACAGGGATTTGTACATTAAAGCCCAACCTATCAGACATAATCAAAAAATAAAAAATACAATTTCCTGTTTTTCTCAGGTCCCCGGGGTTACTGTGCAGAGCTTTCAGAAGATGTTTGTCATTTAACGTTTAAAGAGAGAGAGAGATCTGTGCTAGTGACAGCAATACAATACTATGTCCACTAGAGGGCCCACAAACTAGCAGCTGGGTGGGGTGACATCATACACCTGCGGTCAGATGCTTGTCTTATTTTCATTGTCATCTAAAGAGAACCACCAAGGGCTGGTCTCTTGTTAGTTTTCTGATTTCTGGGAAGGGAATACGAATTCAAACTGGAAGTGATTAGGAGAAGGGCGAGTGTAAGATGCTTTTTAAAAAGAGCTTCTTCTTCAGTGTCGTGCAGTATCATGGTGCGATCCCTGGCGGGCCCACTGGATTCTTGTGTATTTTTAAACAGCACAACTGCAGTGAGGGGCACCATGGCAGGGGTGCTTTGGTGTGTTTTTGGCCTGGTCCAATCACACGCCGACCAGCTGCCACACCCCCACGTGCCAGAAGGCCGGCGGAAGCTCATTAGCGCTAAGCCTCAGAGAGTCGACGGTGAGGGCGGCGGATGGGGCGGTGCTGTAAGTTCATGCACCAGCGACTGAGGGGGGCGGTGCCGTAAAAACGCGAAGGTGCAGCTGTACAAATGGCCAACAGCAGAAGTGACACCGGGTTTCCGGTAAAAACAGCGCTTAGACTGAAACGCACACACACACTGACAAAATAAGGGAACGTAGAGATCTGCCAGTGTTTACATGGCACACTACAGGGACAATGCAGGGTATAGCATGACACGAGCTTCAAAGCATGCCCACAAGCGTACCCCAGTCATTACACAGCAATCCATCGGATATAAATAATGCTGGACAAATATAATTACTGCGACAAGGGCTCCAAGTTTGGCTGGGAGCGGTTTGGTCTGTACAACGTGAACCCGAAGCAGAGGAGTGGAAGGTGAGGACTTCCAGATGGCGTCCTGCTATGAAATGTTTGCTTCCAAACTAATAACCGATTTTAATATAAAACATTACTTAAAAAAAATTAAGAGGTGCTTTTAAAGAACGCACCTCACATAGCTCAGAATGATAGAAAAGTTGCCCCCCCCCTTACGGTGCCCCTGCTAGCGCGGCTCGTTTATGATTCATGCCCAACCCAAAGGTACAACAGCATATCCCCCTCTGTGACTTCCTGTTTTTCTAACCGCCGCATGGTCTGGTATAGATATTGGACGTTATATCATGCCTGAGTGGCGAGCTTTCGGCCCACTGGTGGATGATGCTATCAGGCAAGGGCTGTGGACTGTGGGCGTAAACAGAGAAAAGGACCCGAGGTTTGTGATGTTATTGTCCGTTTCAAAAAGGACATTTATTTAGAAATAATCAAACATGATACAAAGCAGTATAAAATATTTTCAACAAAATAACCACTTAACATAATTCATTGTGCAACCAACGAGGACCAGGCGTCCCTGAGAGAGGAGCGCTCCTAACAGCTACTGCAGCAACAGGGCCTACAAAGCCACTTTTGTTACTGCGTCTGTGTTGTTTTCTAGTGGTGGAGACATGCAGGTAGACGGCCCCCAGGTGGCGCTGTGGGTACACTCGTGTTCTTCACTGTTAATTGCACCTGGGGGCACAGGATTGGGCGCTGTAGGTATGGGAGGATGGTTATTTGGCAGTGATGACTTCAGGTGCCGCGCTGTGGTCCTCAGTGGAGTCGCTCTCCTGGCTCTCGGAGCTCTCCGAGGAGTCGGCGTCTGCGGCCCCGGGTGTGGCCGTAGCTTCTTCGCTGCTCTGGCTGCTCTCAGAGCCATCGGCGGCACTGGTGCTGTCGCTGCTGGTGTTCGTCTCGTCAGTGCTCTCCGTCCCCTGGCTAGTCGACGGGCCCTGACGCTCACTGGAGGGGTCGAGACCCTGGGACTCCATCTCTGGGGTGCTGGTGTCCTCCTCAGTGGGGTCCTCATAAACCTGGACTGCCTGTGGGGATGAAAATCTAAGATGTACAGTCGCTCAACAGCACCACCTACTGTTATGTCAGCTTTGCAGATGCTGAGGCTAATGCAGAAGCTATCAGGAATGTAGCTACATGCAGAGTAAAAGTGTGCACTTACCTTGTATACTTTCAAGGTCTTCTCAATGTCGTTCCTATCCTTTTCAGTATAGACAGAAGACTTCTTGTTCACGAGGTTGGAGTTGTCATCCATTTTGTCAGCACCGTAGGACTTGTAGGAAGATGGGCCCTTCTCCACCTTGTTGCTCTCCATGAACATGATGGATTTGTAGTCGCTGGGGTACCCCAGGCTGTCCCCTCTCCCGTTGTCGCTGAAGGGGGGCATTGTCCATACCGGCGGGGTTGGGGCCACGGAGGTGACCTCTGTGGTCTCATCACTGTCACTCTCATTGGTGTCCTGTGGAGGCAGCAGTTTCATCACAGGCTCCCACTTTTACCAGTGACACTAGTGACTGGTTCATGGGTAGTTACATTTGCTATAATGTTGTTGGTTTGTATAAAGGCATTAATATCTGAGGTGTGTCAGTCTGCGCTGTGGAATGTCATTTATTGGAATGATAAACGGGCCCAGTGTTTCTGACACGCTACAGCAGTGTCCCTGTCACACCGGCGTGTGTGACTCACGTCGTCATCGTCGCTGTCATCTGACGCTGTGTCGGACTCCTGAAAGACAAGGAGGGGGCCGTGAGTGTCGACATGGATGGGATCTCCTTCAGAACCCAGACACGGAACAGGGAGGAGCGGTACCTTGTTCTCATCGGAGCTGTCAGAGCTCTCATCAGATCCCGCCGTCACAGCCTGAAACGGAGGGTAAGATGAATGGGGTTCACACTTCCAGGTGTGGTGGACGGCTGTGGATGGCGTCTGCCTGGTTTAGGCCCACTACCTGCTCAGGGGCTGTCTGGGAGAGATCCGCCGCGGCTTTCATCAGCGTCAGAGCTGCCTTTGCCTGCCCGCGAGCCGGCTTCACCTGGCCAAGAGGAGGACACAGAAGGGGGCGTTGCATTGTTTAATTGCCATTTAGCGAAACACAGCTTTGCTCGGGAGATTGGCTGCTTCTGGGAAGAGAGCTCTCACCTGCTCCTCCGAGCTTTCTGAGCTGCTTACAGATCTCTTCACCTTGAAGATGGACCCGGGGAAGGGGGTGGGGAGGAGTTAGGGAAGTCATAAATAAGACAAAATACATGCCAGAATTCCTCCACGAGTTTTTACACGAACACTTCTTTGAGTCAGTAATGATAAGAACATAAGAACATAAGAACTATACAAACGAGAGGAGGCCATTCGGCCCATCGAGCTCACTTGGGGAGAACTTAACTAATAGCTCAGAGTTGTTAA